ATACTTACTCTTGGCCATTCTGTACCCTGGGCCGGTCATTTGGGTAAGCACGAAACTACAGCACGAATTCAACAATACTTTCACTGGCCGGGGTTACATAAAGATGTGGCCCAGTTCTGTCGCAGTTGCCCCCAGTGTCAGATAACCTCTCCAAAAATGCCCTCCAGAGCTCCACTTCAGCCCTTGCCAGTTGTGGGGATGGATGTTGTTGGACCAGTTGAAAGGAGTAAATCTGGTAATCGCTACATTGTCGTAATGACAGACTATGCAACAAAGTACCCTGAGGTTTTTCCAGTGAGGAATGTTAAAGCAAAAACCGTTGCGTTTTGTCTCGTCCAATTTTTTTCTCGTGTGGGCTTCCCTCAAGAGATACTAACAGATCAAGGTTCTAATTTCATGTCCACTCTACTAAAACAGGTCTACCAGCTGCTTGGCATCCGGAGACTAAGGACCACATCATACCATCCCCAAACTGATGGTTTAACTGAGCGGTTTAATCAGACCCTTAAGCTGATGCTCCGAAAATTTGTTAATGACACGGGTACCGATTGGTACTGATCAGGGACGTGCGGTGAGATTTATGATTGGGGAGGCACTGACTTTGAGACTCAGTTTTGCAATCGACATTTTAATAAAATAGCATTAATTCGGATGGAAGGGTCTCCACCCACCAATGCAATAACGTAAACAAATGTAACACAAACCAGCATATTTTAATAACCCATAACACATAACGTTGCTGACTTTCTGCTTCACATCACACAACGAGAAGCACAGGTGTAAGAGACGCGAAGAGGGAGGATACGCGTATCGCCTGCATGTTAAATTGCTCAAACGGGCAATCGTGGGCTTCAATATTAAGAGCATGAAATTATACATGTACACACAGGTTCTCTCTTTGGCCCTTCTACTGGCAGAGACGGTAGACGGGAACGGGCCCCGAAACGGGCTCTGTTGTGAACAGGCCCGAATCCACAATCTATTTCAGAATAATAATACACCATCATGCAAACACTATAGACAATAACACAAATTCTCGCTGGTTGTAGCATTGACAAACAAACATAAAATAATTAACAGTAGCATAAACTGTCCACCTCTGTGGTGCTGAAAAACGTAGTGAGATAGCAGAGCGGAGAATCACAGAACCCGCACTGTTCCAACACAAACTATAATACAAACTCGAGCAGTGTAGTATTCCTACTTTACTTGTAAATGAAGTCCATTCGTCTGTCCTTCTTGACAAAGATCTTGATGACTTCGTTGTAAAAGGCCTCCTTGTCTTGTTTCAGCTTTAAAAGTCTCTCTTTCTCAATTGAGATCATTGCCAGGGAAGAAAGACGTCCTTGGTCAGTCCTATTCCGAGTGTATGTTTTAAGTCTTTTCAAAGCAGAAAACGATCTTTCCACCGATGCCGTCGTAGCTGGTATAGTGAGGACCAGCTGGAGTAACTTTGTTGCCTCCGGAACAGTGGCAAGCAGATCATTGTCAGCCAAAAAGGTGAGAAGCTGTCCCGGTGATTTGCATATTTGCCCCACCGTATGTGAACTGTACAGTCCCACGAGATCAGCCTTTAGTCTGACAAAGTCGAAGAACCTGGCATACTTTGTCAAACTCTGCAGTTTGGCGTTATCAAAGTGCTGTGACATTTGCGCAAACTTTGCACAATCGACCAATTCAATGAAAGCTAGCTCACCAAAATGATCAAATCTAGCTTTCATCTGAGCGCTGACATTGTCCAGAATCTTGAAAAACACCTGTTTCCTCTCATCTTCAACTGGCATTTTACGTTGGCTTCTCTCCTCTGTCAGGCCTAGTTGCGCGCGTCTCTGCTCAAATCGTTCATAGAATATATGAAACTCCTGTCTCATTCGTTCCACAACTCCAATGGTGTCGCGTATACGCGCACAACAAAATCCAATGTCCATTGTCTTGTTCTGCAGCACTCTAAAGAGCGCATCAGTGTGACTGAATATATCCTCATATGCCATGATGAAAAAGCATGTTGATTCTTTGGATAACCACCGATCATATCCAGCAGCCATCATCAGGGTGTCGTTATCCCAAGTGTCCGGATTTTCAATCATGTTCTGGAATACAGCCCGCAGATCAGTCTGGTACATACTTATGGTTTGCAACAGGTTTGAATTTGAGCTCCATCTCGTAGGCGCTGCTCTTGGAATCCGCCGCTTCACAACTTCATCCAACGCGTGAGTGCGTTTTGTTGACTTGCTGAAAAATGTTGCAAGTCCCTCCCATAGTTTTAAAAAAAATTCTACACTCTGGTATGCATTTTGAGGAATGTGAGAGCACAAGGTTTAGTTTGTGTGCATAACAGTGGGTAAAAAGGGCTTCCGGAACTTTTTCTTTTATTCTAGCCTGCACACCATTTAGCTCTGATGCCATCACCGATGCTCCGTCATATGTCTGGGCTACCAACTTTTCGATACATTTGTATTTCTCCAAAACTCCGAAAACATACTGGGCAACCGCTGCGGCCCGTCTGTCATCACTCACGTCATCAAATCCGAGAAAGGCCTCCTTCACTTCACCTTTAGCAACGTAACGCAAAATCACAGAGATCTGAGCTTTATTTGTTACGTCCGTTGTCTCATCCACTTCCACTGCGACAAATGGGGCTGCGTCAATCTCCTTTTGAATATCATCTCTGATCACATCACGGACTGCTTCGATCAAATCATTCTGAATTCTGTTTGATAATCCAGAAAATACAGTGGATGTCTCCAGGTGTCTTGTTAGCCGCTCATCTTTTTCAGCAAAAGCATGTAATAGTTCTACATAGTTTCCACGATTTGATGAAGTTGTGCTCTCATCGTTACCACGAAAGGCCAGCTCCTGTTTAGCTAAATAGCAGGTTGCATTTATCAGGTCTTTTAATATCTCACGGTTTTCCTTTACCTTTGCATTGTGGATGCTGATATTAAGCCTGTGTTGTTCATTCAGAGCCAAATCAATTCGTGATGTCCCAAACGTTTTTAAAGATATCTGACTTTGGATGTGAACAGATGACAGTTCGTGTTTAGTGAGACTTCTTGGCAAATTTTTTAAATCACAAAATCCAGTTGTGGTCCACACATGGTCACTTGTAGAAAACAGAAGACAGGGAAAGCAAAAAAGTCGGTTTTTCTCTGCACAACCACAAAGCCATTCCTTTCTGTCATACCACTCCCGTTGAAAAGAACGCGTCTCTCCAGCTGCTTGAAGCAGACCGCAAAGGTCCGGTGTCGGCCTCCCACCTTGAATAATTTCTTTCTTTTGTTGAAAATCCCGTTTAGAAAAACATTTCAGGTTCAAAATTACTTCCCCCATTTTACCGCAAGCTAAAGAAGTAGCAATAGCGAATAGCTGATTGTTTGTTTGTTTGTTTTATAGCAAATCTGGTGGTATTAAATTATTCACGCTCATTACCGCTCCTATCGGTGAGGCACAGACACTGCCTGCCTCAAGGCAAGCTTTTTCCTCGTGTATTTTTCTGCGATCAAAAGTCTTATACTCGATTTGAATAGTGCAATCATATGTGAAATACATTACCAAACACTATGGCAATCAATATGTTTAATGTAAATGTTATCAAAGCAGTATATTAGAAACATATAACAAAATGACGACTAGCATGAGCTGAGTACACTCGCACCATTCACTTTGCGAGAGACCAAGCGATCTGGGGTGAGGCACGCCTTTGCGCTGCCTCACCTCTAGCCTCTTTACAAGAAATACAAGATTTCAGCGATTTTGAGTATAAAAATTATGAAAACTGATCAGAACCAAAGCGAAAATGCATTATAAGCATAGACTAGTGGAAAATATTGATTCCTATTTTTTTTATTATTATTTTTTTTCTCATGATGGCAGGTGAGGCTCTGCCTCCCCTGCCTCCCCTGACTGCACGTCCTTGGTACTGATACAGGGAAGTACCCCAGGCCTCTACGGGTTTCTCTCCCTTTGAGCTATTGTATGGGCGTGAGGTGCGGGGGCCACTCTCATTGCTCAGAGAGGTCTGGGAGGCAGACCAAGAGAGGGCGGGACCTGTTAATGTCGTTTCATATGTTGTCCAGATGAGGGAGCGCCTTGAAAGAATGAACTGGCTCAAAGGTCTAGTACGATCGGTCGGCTCGTCAAAGGACTTTCGCTCCAGGCCAAGAAGTGCTGGTACTGTTACCAAGTGAGGACAACAAATTGAAAACACAGCCATAGGGACCGAAAGATTAGCAGAACTCGCCCATATTTGGGCATCGTCTGGTCCTCCCAGTTCTGCATAATGGACGAGATCCCGTAATGCGTTGCGCCAAATACGCGTGTGTGGCTCGCATGAATGTGCAGAAAGGGGCTCAGCCACGCATTGACCAATCAGAGCTGCTGATCAGGGCGGAGTTAGAGCGGTAAGAAAACGACTAGAGTTTGTTGCATTAAAGTGTGGATTTAAAGAAAACTTAAGGATTTAACAAGAAAAGAAGTTCAGGATGATAAGGGACACTAAAATCCGACCTTTATAAAAGCTTTATGTTCTCTGTTTATATAGAGTTCTATGGGAATTTTTTCTGGGTAGCCCACGTGAATTTAGTCTGCAGTACCGCGGGTGCCCCTGTGCCCAGTGGTGGGACAGCTATAAGCTAGTAATATCCTATCCAAATATTCTTATAGATCCATGGGCTCACCTCACAGTGCGCCATGCAGTCAAATATGAGAACAATATGACAAAAATCTACAATTTTGAGGTAAAAATATATCAAATAAGGCAAAGTTGCACTGATATAGAGACCAAGTATTATTGTTTAAATTCTATTCTTTTTTTCTCTCCATGATCGCCCTCCCTTGACCGCAGGTCACTGGGCGTAAAGGCCTAGTGAGAGATTGAGCTGCCTTTCTTCAGCCAAAAGCAGGCTTCTTCATGCGTCCTCTTACAATGAGTACAGATCTGTTGGCTCCAGCTACATTGTACTAAAGCCCTCTCTGACCTTGTGCCTGCTGTCCCCACTTACCCCAGTGTGATGCAGGCCTCTCGGACCACCTGGGAGCGTAGGTCTTTAGCGGACAGCTTGAGGGGAGCCTCCAGGAGCCGGAGCTGCTGTGAAAAGCCCTCGTACTCTAGGGCTCCAGCCAGGATGAGGGAGCGCACCTTCTTTAACTAAAACCAAAATACGCCGGGATTATAAACTAGCGCCAATGAGAAGTGATTCATGTGAGGTGTTAGCTTACCGCGACCACCCTGTGCTCCCAGTCATGCTTATCGTCAGACAGAACTTCTCGGATCTTGGTCAGCTGGTCTTCAAGCTCTCTGTTGGAGAAGATCTGGAGGACAGATGAAAATGAAAAATAATCGCGGAATTATAGATTGTAATTATATGTGTTTGTACAGAATCACTGTCAAACCTGCGCCAAGTTTTTATAACCCTAACTCTCTACCCCGATTGTAGTGTTCCACTGTTTAACCAGGACCAAGTAAATATAAGATAAGATAAGATCAACTTTATTTATGTCACAATGAATAAATTTAGACGTCACATTTAGCATTATTAGGATCACTCAGAAAAAAGACAGGAAATGTGCAAAAAGGAAATGTCTCTTTTGTGCAAAGGTATTTTATGTACAATCTGCAGGTTCTCTGTCAGCTTAGATTGAGCTGTTTTTGTTTACATTGAGTTCTATGGGACGTTTTTCTGAGTAGTGTCCCTCACCTCCTCCACACAGTCCAAGGGGCAGCCCAGAGGAGCTGTTCATCCTGACCAGCTTGTTCAGCCTATTCCTGTCCAGTTCTCTGCTGCATGGGGTCCAGCACGGCGTAGTGGATAGCAGAGTCATAAAAAGTCCTGAGCAGAGGCCTGCTCACTACAAAGGGCCTCAGCCTCCTCTGAAGGCGCAGGCGACTTTGGGCCTTCTCGTACAGGGTGTTGGTGTTGTAGGACCAGTCCAGTTTATTGTCCAGTTTATAGGCTGCAGTCACAAACTCAACCTAAAGTCCCGTAAAAGTGGGCCTAGGGCCAGAATGCATTTAGATCTGGGCTTTTGGTGCCAATGGGCCTCATGTATGAAAACTGCGCAGAACAAGGTGTAAATTTTAGGTGTAGATCCCAGATACACAAGATCTGACGTAGCATTTATGAACGTGTGAGATACGCACAGATCTGAGCGTACGCACCTGCTGCTGTTGATAAATGCCGCGCTCAAAACCAGCGTATTTATGAAAGTCACGCCTATAAATATTCAGAAACTGCCTTTTCCACGCCCTGTTTTGGCGACAAGTCAGCAGGAAGTCGGCTAAGAAGCCGTAAAAAGCACGCACTTTTGAGTTTATTCACGTAAAAATAAAAAACCACTGCAGCACTCATCTCTCCTGAAATTTCGACTTAAATAAATAAATAATAAATGACCTGAATTAATGAATGAACTATACTGCTGGTGCGCGTCGCATCCTATCTCTGCTATGCGGAGAACAGGGCAGTGGCTGAGACAGTTTTGAGCAAGATCAGATGCATTTATGGGGCTTTATGCACAAAACTAAGGAAAACCCACATTGCTTTGCCAGAGGTGAATGAGGCAAAACATATGCGTGTACGGCGCAGGGTCTGCCACAGGTTTTTCATGCATGTGTAAAAATAAATATACGCTATTTATTCAGCTGCGTTTTGAATACATTTGCAGAAATGTTTTAATAAATTATAAAAATCTCTTGGATTGTAGAAGTGAATAAATAAAGAATGAATGAATGAATTCATATATATTGTGTGCAGCGGTGGCTCTCATCAATGAAGCGTCTGCAGCGGCTTGTGAATGCACTGAAGCGCTGTACACTTGCGAGAGCGTTTGCAGTCCAGATTTTACAGAGAAACTCTGGAGCCAAGACTTGAATGACAGCATTTGAGGAGTTATGTGGCGCGTCTCTCATGGCACCTGCTGTGGACGCACTCGCAAGAGTGCGCAGCGGGTGGACAGGGCAGTGAGACATTTGGAGTGAGCAATACCATAGTCCATCGGTCCATGCGTTAATGGGGTGTGTGTCTGTGTGAGGCTTACACAAATCTAATGAGAACATACATTGCTTTACCAGATGTGAGGAATACAAATAGCCATGCGTAATCACGCAGCGTAGAGCCTGCCACAGCAATAGCTGGGTCACACATCCCTGTCGCGTAAAGGGTATTTGTATAGAGCCTTTCCCTGTCCAGGATCACAAAGCGCTTCACATTTTAAAAACATACAGATCAAAATAATACATACAGAAGTCAGATTTAAAATCATTGAAACAGAAGAGGCTCCTCATCATGATCTGTGATTATTCGAAGTTTGCGTGTTTCCAGAGTGTTAGACTTTTCCTGATGCGCAAATTCAAATTCCGAAACATGATGCTCCATGAAAACGCAGCTTATAATATTGCCAGAGTGGGAACATGTTTATTGTTGTCCAAATCTTGAATTTCATGCGTGCTTTGGCGTGTTGTGACGAAGGGTGAAATGAGCGTACACATTTACACCACCTATTGACTTGGTGTAAATTCTGTGCGTACCGTACGCTCACGTCCAGATTGATAAATGCGGAAAAGTGTAAATCTTTTGCGTACGCATCATTTACACCTTGATTTGGCCGTACGCAAGTTTCATACATGAGGCCCATTGTGACCGTGGCAACTGGGCTGGCCTGGTGGTATTTCAACTGTGCTTGAGCATGGTTCCAATAGGTGGGCTGGGGCCAACTTGAAAAGCCCAGATGAGGGGGGGGCGATGTGGTGGGGAGTAGGGGCGCCCACACACAAACATACACACAACTGATTGCAAAGAACGCAAACCATGCTCGAGCCATGCCAAAGACTGTAAATATTAACGGATGTAGTGACACCTATTTCCTCAGGTAAATTTATGTGCCACAGACATGGGCAGATTAAAAATGGCTGCGAATTTGCACATGCGTTACCCGGCAGGTTTGTTGTGGGTACTAAAGCGTATGGAAATGCAACCAGGTAGAGTAGATTAGAGTTGGTGGAAATGGGGCTTATGAATGAGAACTAAAAACCCATTGTTAGTGGTTGTGACTATGTTGTATAAAGAACATAGAATTTAAAATTCGAACAACATGGAGCCACTCTGAGATTTGAAATGTGCAGTTTATGCAAGGCCCAGGAATTGACAGCTGTCAGATATGTTAAAAGGTAAATACACACTACTGAGAAATGGGGAATGGAGAATTCTGATCAGTGATAGACGAGGAGTTTGTAAATGACTGAAAAGTGTTTGTGATATCTTTCATAATTTGTTTTATTTGGCAAATATTCTATCACAACTGTATACATTCAGCTATTCTAGCTTGTTTTATTAATCCTGTTGATATAGCTTGGCCCTGACACTCACTTGCATTTTAGCGTTTAGCTGTTGCAGACTTTTCATAATCATAATTAGTAGTATTTCTAGTCCCTTGTCACCAACCTGAACAGCAGGAGCATCTTCAAAGGCTTTGATGAAGTCCTCTTCGTCAACAGCACCAGCTGCGGCCTCTTTTGCTTCACACGACAGAAACCAGAGTCAAAAACACTTCATGGACTGGACACAAACTGAACGACTCAATATTCACCTGTAGCTTTAGCCATGGTGGCAGAGCTGGGTCTCCTCATTGAGCTCATTACCGTTTTTCTCCCACTAGGGGGCGCTCTGGAGGAGGAAGAGGAGGAGGACCGGCCCCCATCCACTGAGTCTTCATCTTCAAAGTTTTTATCTGCAAATAGAGAAAAGTGTGGCAGTTAAGTCAGGAGAGACGAGGAAAGGGCGAGATAAACTCCTCTCTTACGTTCAAAAAGTAAATACATTTATGAATAATAGTAAATACACTCTATAAATAACTCTATAAACTCCACATAGAAAGTCTGGTAAGTGAATCGAACCCAGGACCATCTTACTGTGAAGCACAAGCACTAACTGGTATACCAAATATCAATACACATACCTACGTACATAGGTAACAACTAGAGCTGAAAGGATTCGTCAATTAACTTGAATAATTCGATTTAAAAAAATAGACAAGGAATTTTTGCTGCCTCGTTGCTTCGTATACGGTAGTTTATTTGCGGCATTTAGCCTTGTTTGCTCCATAGACTTTGCTCACATTTCGCACGGATTCTATGTGTGTTACGCAACGTGTTTCAGCCACAAATCTTCTGTGCCCTGCGCCACACAGCACCGGTCTGCATGCTTTGCTAGTCTTTGTAAAACTTTTTTATGGACATTGCAGGATGACAAAGAAGGCACTGGGAAAGACAGGAAAGTTGATAAGAAGCAAAATGAAGCACTTCACACTGAACACACACAAAAAAAAAAAGAGTAGTGTGCACACATTGTGAGGTGGAGCTAGCTTATCACAATAGTACATGTATGATGCTGCAGCACGTGACAAGGAAGCATCAAGGCAAATCAACTTCTATGTCATGGTGTAAGACAAGTGATAGTAAATGTTAGTAATTATGATGACAAGGAGGGGTTTTCCCACTCGCGCAAAAAGTCATCAAACGCTGCCAAAGCGGCATGGTTGAAAACTATAAATGTTGCCGCTTGTCGCCTTCAATTAGCCATTCATTTTTTTAACGCAGTGATGAAGCAGAAAGGTTGATCAGTACCTACATAAAAAATGTATTATGAACGTTTTACTTAATTCAACATTCAATACAATCCGAGTGCCAACTGGTATATACTACTCCACGACAATTATTTGAACTCCGTACATAATCAATAGGCCTATATGATCACAGAACAGAACAGTAGGAATGAGGAGCACACGGCACAAGAGAAGTGAACAATAAAAGTACAGCACGGCACGGCCAAGTGTGGGTGCTTTTTCATTAACAATAGTACCTCCTCGACGTGGGAGGGGTTGCCAGATCACGTCATTTATGCCCATGCTTAACTAGCAACATCGGTAGGGTGACTACTGGCTTTGTATTTAGCAAATATGCCTCCATCCTTGTTCATAAATTTACCAAGGTTATACGGACAAATATAATGTATGTAATGTAAATAGAAGTTAAAGTATATGGTAAGAAATCGTAACTTTTGAACATCTGCACACGTGCCCTTTTCTGCACGTGTACAGGCAAAATGAATGAAACAAAGTCTTGATACAATCCCACATTTATTAAACACAAAAGTAAAGTGCAAAACCAACAATTTACAAAGTCCAAAGTATGTACAGTATGTCTCTTGAGACCAGGTCCAGATAAGGGGAATGTTAAGTACTGCGGTCACTCATTGCTCGTTGGTAATCTCCTCACTTGTAGGAAGGGATTCTCAAATCAATAAATATACACACGACAACTTAAGTACAAGCACAAAACAGAATGGCAGCACGTGAAAGAGCAAGATACAGCACACTAGCACAGGAAGGACGTTTTAGCCTACCTTGCTATCAATAGCTAAATGTAGCAAGCTCACTATGTACAGCAGAGTAATTACATTTCAATGAGAGCCAGCGGGATACGTAGCTAACCAGTTATTGCCAGGATTACCACAGACAAAAGTCACAAATCAAGAGCTGGGCGATCTCCCTGAAAACCTTCTTGTTCTGTGTTGTGCGTTCGAGCTGCCTTTGATTTCTTTCGTCGGGCTAAAGAGAGTAACGTGTGGACCTGGTCGACCAACCAGGGCGTGGACTTTTGGGGCTTTCTGTGCAATTCTATTTCTCTCAAGTGAGGAGGACATGTTGTAGCCAAAAGAACGGGTTGTAGCAGAGGGGCTGGTTATAAAGATGGCAGGGTTGAGTTGTGTTTACAGTAGAGTCGAACGGTCCTTCCAGTGACGACACTTATTGGACAATCAGTGTAAGGCAGTCGGTTGACATCACGTTATGGTGTAGCTTCGGCATGCTTGGTACAAAAAAAGTATACCTGATCCCAAGCCCAACTCTTGTGGAAATGCAAAATAATCGTGCCATGCCGTGCTGTACTGTGACTATGGAAAAGTAGTTGTATGTTTACATCTGTACATGTTAGCAGCATGTGGGTATGGGACACAGTCAGTCAGTAAAGTGCCAGTGGACACATGTAGTTCTATATTGCAAATTGAATTATTGCACAGATGCACGACAGTTAAGTCAGGTCAGCAGTGTTTGTTACCCAATATGGGACATATTGAATATGGAAGGGGTGTGTGATTGAATTTTGAAATTTTACGTCTGCTTTTCTCTTTTTTCAGTAAACCATCACAGCCTGTTTATGACCGGTTCCTGCTCAAAGGACATTCCTGCTCCCCAGCACAAGCAGTTGTCCTGACATAACATTTTAAATATGCTTGTCAGACATGCACCTCATCTGATTTTGTTCAATCTAGGAAGGACTTAAAAAATCAACTGTGGTACAGGTTCAATGGCTGCTGCCTTGTCTTCATTTTCGACAACATGAAACTGTTATTATTAAGTGGCTTTCATTTGATATTGTATATTTTGAATTAGGCAAAAATATGTTTGTTTCTCGATTAATTGTTGGTGTATTTGATAGAATAATTGATCACCAAAATATTTAATGTGCTTTTAAGTGAGAATCATCTGAACAGTAAAAGTACAAATATGTATTTCTAATCATCTGAACAGGCAAAATAAATAGGTGGTTTTTCCCTTACTTGCATAGCATTCAGTTGAATGGTCTCTCTCTGGTCTTTCTCTCTCTCTGGTCTCTTTCTGGTCTTTCTTCCTCTCTGGTCTGTCTCTGGTCTGTCTCTGGTCTGTCTCTGGTCTGGCTCTGGTCTGGCTCTGGTCTGGCTCTGGTCTGGCTCTGGTCTGGCTCTGGTCTGGCTCTGGTCTGTCTCTCTGGCCGCTCTCTCTGGCCGCTCTCTCTGGCCGCTCTCTCTGGCCGCTCTCTCTGGCCGCTCTCTCTGGCCGCTCTCCCTGGTCTCTCCCTCTGGTCTCTCATTATTTTACAATCTCAAACATGAAAGCAAAAAGTAGTCAGCAGGTAATTGTGTTTGCTAAGAATCGTAACTCTAAAATGTACAACTGTGACATCCCTAATTAAAAAAATGAGGTGAATGGGAGCATAGACTCTCTTCTTGGTTGTGGGATGCAGTTTTTGTAACCTCTGTTCTGATGGCTTTACAGACAAAACCTCATGGACTTTGTGACACTACTCCAGTCCCTCACATTCAGAGCCAACGAGCCATGGGGCTGCTGACAATGGCCCCTTGTGCTTCTTTTGCTCCTTGTGCATTATGCAGTAGCTCTGCTATAAACGCTCTTTCACAGAATGCACCTGACTGGCCTCCACCACCACAAAAGCTCAACTGGCCTGGACACTAGGCACATTTGAAAATGGGATAATTCTGTGCAGCTCATCCCAGTAGCTTTTTAAGAGAGTTGCAAGAAATTATTTATCAGAAATAAGTAAGTGCTCAGTTTACAGTATTTAAAGCCCTGTTTCCACCAGCACAACTTGCCCCTACCCTGCCTTAGTCCACTTTACTTGGTTGTGCTTCCATTACACTTTAGTGTTGTATCTATGGCGTCAAAATAGGGTCTGCTTAAACGTAACCGTAAAGCAGGAATTGTAAACGTAGGTTGTAAGTATTGTAAATATAAAAATATATTGTAAACGAAAACAACTGTAGTAAACGTAAAACTTACTTATACGCTTCTGATGTTTCATGTTTCGCTTCATAAGTTACGTTTACGATTCACAAGTTATTCACAAGTTATGTTTGCGATTCACAAGCTACGCTTACGAGTCAAAAGTTACAACTATGATACATTTTTCACCTGACTCTTTTTTTAAGGGGCGGGCTCAGCGCACCTAACCTGGCAAAAGCCAGATTGATGATTGTGTAGAACTCTAACGCGTTCTCCGCGATATCAATCTGGGATTTCTCCCGGAGAATCCTTTCGGGGAAAGGAGGGGTAAGCAGCAGAATACTTGAAGCTGATTGGGCGAAGTGACGCTGTGTGCCCGCCTACCAAGGTTGCCGTCCAGAAATACACAAAGCGCCTCTCGCTGTTCATCTTTCAAAAAAGAAATTGGAGATTCTGCTAAAACTGACTTTGCGTCCGTCCTCCTGCGTAGCCATGTTTGTTTTGCTTCGGCCCGGCACTTCTTGCTTTCGTCAAACCCGGATATCCCGCCCTAAACCCCCAGACTGGCGCGTGATTGGCTCGCACACCCAGTGGTTCGACTCGAAAAGTGTAAGCGGGAGCGGTACAAGATGTATTCTCGAGTGTTTGTGAACTCACAAATACCGCGAGAATTCAGCTTGCAGGCAAGGTTACAGCGCACCCATTGGCTAGAGCAGCCATTCCCAAACTCAGTAACACAGAGGCCCCCTTAAAAATCTGACGGGTCTGCGTCCCCCCAAAATAATAACCAAGAAGACAACATTAAGAATAGGCTCTTCTGGTTATTTTATTTTGGGGAAATAGCCTCTGCTACAAACATTGTAATACAAAAATGATTACAGTGGATTATTCAAGTCAAATAACGAACACAAATATTTTAATATTACAAACAAAACATTATAAATTTAACATTAAATAATTATATATATATATATATTTTTTTTTTTATGACCTCCCGCGGCCCCCCTGCAGTACCCCACTTTGGGAGACACTGGGCTAGAGGGACCGGATGTTACGTCATCACAAAAACAAAACACATGCACGTTACTACTACCAAAGACGAAGAACAAGGCTTCTGGTCATCTGCGGAGACCTGCGCATATAAATGCTAAGAGTCTTTCATATCTTATAAA